GGGTGGCGAGGCGTCCGTGAAATGAAACGGCCGGGGCAATGTTCATGACGCCAACGACTGGACGGCCATCCTCCAGCGTGGCGCACGGCAGTGCCCACACACCACCCGGCGCCGCAGCCACGTACAGCACCATGTCAGAATTGGCAACACCAGCGGAACGATGCTCGTCAGGCACAGTGAACCGACTGCAAACACTGCCCGCGGCAAATTGGGGCACAACCAACGGACCCTCCAGTGGCTGGACGAGCAGACGATCCGCATGCAGTTTGACAGCTGCAGGAACAACATTGTCGATGAGGATTTTCCTCTTATTAAAGGAAAGAGCATTGCCCTCACACTCGTAATAGCCTGTCAATAAATTTTTCACATAAGAATATTTTGTGGTGCAATACATACTGGTATTATACAGGTCCCTTGTCGACACATTGATGCGGATGGGTGCCCATCCATTCCTCCCGATGACGGTGTATGTCTGCGACGCAATTCCCGTTCCCAAAGGCACGTTTTTCATCACCACCGGCATCGACTTCGTCCTGTCGACACGCATCGCTTTGTCAAAGATGCAATGGTACGTCAGGCTGGCAGCAAAGCACCCGCTGGAACAACACATCAAAGTCAACATCATGAGCAGCAATGGCAGCGCTGCAGGGCACGGTGAGGCGAGAAGCCACTGAACCATCGGCGTGACTGTTGGAAAGGTATTTATTGGCTTGCTGAGGCAACAAAGACTGATTGGTTGAAAAGAGAAATGAAACGCAAACGTCACCACACAAGAAAACAAATGATGGTTAATTAAAATACGCCCATTCAACCACAACACAAGCAGAGATTAAAAACACACACGTGACGGGAAGCCGAAGCGTGGGACGACCAGCGCACACACTCTCATTGCTCCCGTAAAGCAAAACACACACACAGGGAGAGAGAGAGAGAGAGAGGTCGCCCACTCAATGCAATAAAAAGAAAACAAAAACAGTTACGGTGCTCCGCCCATGCAGCCAGGCAGGACGGCAGCGGTGCGTGTCGTGCAAAAGAAGGCACCAACGGGCCTGCATGGGTGTGCATGCATATATACAATGGGCACATTATGTGTGTGCTTCGTGGGATGAGGTGAGGGCGAGAGTCCATGCAAGGGGACACACACAGAGAGTGGGTGAAAGACGAGTGTGTGTGCGGGCGGTGCATGGCGCTCTCTCACTCACTCTCACGCGGCCGCCACCGCAGCAGCAGCCGCACACGCAACAAGAAGAAGAGGCAAAGGAGGGGAGGTGGTGTGGGAGACAGCGGTGCTGCCGTCACTGTCGCCAATAGTCGCAGTATCATTTGTTATAGCTGCGGCTTCGAGAGTTGCTGTTTTATTTGTATTTTCTTCTTTATTTTCACCTTGTTGTGCTTCTTTCGTCGCTTCACCATCAGGTGCTTGATCGTGTTTTGGAATGCCTTCTTCATTTCCTTCGTCAGCGTCATTTGTAATGGCACCTTTGGAAGCTGAGGGTGATGTTGGAGTTGATTCGGCGTTAACTTCTGTTGGTCCGTCTGTTTTGGTGACTGTGGTGGGGATGGTTCCTTCTTTTCGTGAGGCACTTCTTGACTCCATGTCGTGTTGAGATGCTTCTACATGTTGCACTGAAGGGTCATCTGCAGAGGAGGGGTTTTCATCTTTTGTTTGTGTTGTTGCTTCTGCCACTGCAGGTGCTGCAGGTGCTGCAGGTGCTTTTAGTGTTGGTAATTTGAGTCCTTCTTCCTGGGCCGAGCCGTCATCAGAGCTGGACTGTCCTTTCGCTGGTGTTGCATTTAAAGTTCCTGCTGGGTTTCCATTCAGTGTCGTTGTTAATGGTTCCGATGGTGGTGGTACTCCTTCTTGCGTCAATGTTAATTGGGATGTTTCTTCGCCTTCAATTGAACTTTTGAGTTCCTCAATTTCTTCTTCTTCTTCTTCTTTCCCTCTCACTGTGATTGCTGGTGATGCTATGATCCCACCATTATCCTGGTTGATGCCATTTCCCGTTTGTGCACCCAAAGACTGCTTACCGTTTTCGGAACCTTCCCTGACTGAATCCTGCGTTACATGTTGTTCAGCGCTAACAATACCAGCAACAAACTCTGAACTGTCAAATTTTTCATCTTTTTTCATTTCGGTACCTTTATCGACATCGGCCTCCGCCATCACCTACCGCCGGCAATACCGCACCACAGCACGCAGAGGGCACACACCAGCGGCACACGGCCAGTCATCATCATCGCCATCACTCCTGTCAGTTACGTGCAGCCTTCAGCACAAACTAACAACACTTCAACGCAGAGTGAAAGAAAAAGGTGAGAGAAAAGAGAGAAGTCACTCAACCAACGCACCGTCCAATCCAGCAATGAGAGTCACGCACCACCACAACAACAATGAAAGGAGTGCTGATCGATTGCCCCCTTCCTCACACCCTCACAGTCACTATTACCGTCAGCGTTACTACTCCCTCTTCAGAAAAACTCACCGGCATGCCGCGCTCACCCGCAGCACGCGTAGCCCGTCATCCTCTCCCGCTGCGTCCGCCACCTCCCCCCGCAGTCCAACAGCTCCGTGTCATCCACTTCTTCCATAGCCTACGGCATGCCACCGCCACGCAACACACACACGTGCTCCATGCGCTGCATGTTGTTCTCCTCCTTGTATTTGTGGCGGCACCGCAAAGTCTTGCAGCCGGCGGCATCGCAGTGCTGGAAGAAGTACGGCGCAGCAACCGTGCGGGTGTCCGTGTGTCTGTACTCGCGCTTCAACTCGTCCAGCAAGAACGGGCTCGGCGGCAGCTATTCCAGCGGGTTAATTTTCTTCCTCCCCCGTAAAACCGCGGACGCCTCACGGGGCCCTCCAACGGCGTCACGCCATGTCCCAGGAGGTCATGCGCACCGCCCTCTCATGTTCCCCTTTCGTAGCCGCAGAAGAACGCAGCACCCACATGCAATTGCCGGCAAGTTGGGACCATCCACGTAAAATAAAACGTTATACGTGTCGTGCGAGGGTAGTTGTACGACTGCAGAGACGTGAAGGCAAAAAAAAAGAGAAGGCAGCCATGCCAAGAAGCAAATACGCACATAAGTACCGCAGAGGTCACAGAAAAAAAAAAAAAAAAACTTCGCACTCAACGCAATTTTCACGCAGATCGTTAAATGTAAAAAATTGGATAATAATAATAATAATAGTAAGTATCATTATTACTTTTATGATTATTATTTTACAAAATAAATAAATAAATAAATAAATAAATTCATATAAAGTCATACATACAAAAATAAAAAATAAAAAACAAAATAAAAAATTTTATAAATCCGCCAACAACAGCAATAAAATATGTAAAAAAAAACCATCAGCATGTAAATATACGCTGTACCGCTGGAGACAGCAACAACGCCGTTTTAATATGAGTAAAGAGCCCCAAAGCCCCAGCAGAAGTAACAGCACCCAAGACACAGTCTCATGCACAAAGCTCACCTCTTCACTTTCCACCCGCGATGAACTCTCAGAATTGGAGCTGCCACCTCTGCTTCCTTCCTCAGATGAACTCGCAGAATAAGTGCTGCCATCATCGTATTTTGGGCCTGCCTCGCCGACCATGAGCCATCTTAGATGCTTGGAATTGAGTCTTCGGTTATACAAACGGGCGTTGAAGAGTGACAAATGGCTGGATTCTGCAACTTCCCCACTCTCCCCGTGGAATTGAATGTGTGAAATACTGTTTGTTTGGAGAAGAGACCCCTTGTAGGTGCCAAAGTAAGCCACCCTCGCGTTAATGTACAAATCCCAATTGCCCGTCTCGTGTCGCAGCACCACCTGAGACAGTTTTTCTGGGTCCCACCCTGTTGAAAGTATTTGTCTGCCGCCACTATGAATTACAGTCATCCACCTCCCATCATGGGTGTAAAACACACCAAATAGCACAGTCTTGCCATTGTCATCCATCACCACACGAATCAAAGGAATGGGGGTGCATTTCTTCGGCTCATCGTGGACGATCGCCATCACCACTAGAGTGAACGTTTTGTGTACGAAATGGTACGGTTGATTCTGTCCACTTCGGGCAACAGGCCACCCCGCCCCTGCTCCGGGTCCCTCAAACGTCACTCCATTGGAGAACCCTCTCACCGTCCCATGAACAGTCGCGTTCACGCAGAGGTACTCGTCCATCCACTCACTCCCAGTCGACAGACCAGACAAATAGCCAACAAGCCCGTAAGAATGGGACGAATACACATGCCCCTTCTCACCGGGTCGATAGTGGCAGTGGGTCTGCACGTTCTTAGGGCTTCATCCAACTCCTGCCACCTCTTCACCACAGTCTTTATCCGCTCCAGCTGCGTAGTCACGTGCACAGCAACAAGACCGTATGACCCCTCACTCTTATTCTCGTAGAGCGAAATCAGATCGCCCCCACTGCTATACAACAGGGAACTGGCAGCAGCGTCAACAGCTGCATCGGATATCGGCCCAGCATCATGCACACGTGCACCGTCCGTCAGCCAAAGATGAAGCCGACCCCTACCTTTTTTCTCCTCCAAATACACCGGCGTGGTAACAAGCAGCACTTCCCTTCCCTCAATGGTTACGGTGGTGAGGCCACAGCGAACGCCATACCCTTTTCGACCATACGAGTTGCCCCACACGCGAGTAATTGGCCTACCACTCATTTCCCAACGTATCCCAGAGTCAATGGACCTGAATACTTCGTAGTAGCCGGCAGCGCAAGGAGTAATCAAAATCAGATTTCCTTCCAAATTCGCGATGGATGGCTCCTTGCAGTTAAT